ATATACAATCACACAAAAATCACACATAATAAATCTAATATTAAATATGGATGGTTAATGTTTAATTTCGACCAATTGTACACCTATATTATTACATTAATTCATTTCATGATATACTTATTTAATGGTGGCGATTTTAGAAGCTGTGATTGGAATATATTCTTCTGCAAACGCGCCATGAACGCACCAAACTTTTGCGCTACATCATCGGAATGCGACCCGTGGTCAAGTTACCGCACCTAATTTAAAAAAACGGCAAATGTAACTATTCGGTTGTCGAAATAAAAGTGCAAAGCCAATTGAACAAGGGACAAGTGGTGACTTAGCTTCCGAACTAAATCATGTTTAACACGCTGTCTTTTTAACATACAGACCATTTAAGAATCACCTGTCCAATAGTGCACCTTCTGGGTTATGAGTGCGGCCTTTATTGTGAAATGTGCTAAACGGAAGCGGCGCGTGTTGTCGTGTGAAGCTTGACGCCGGTCTAAGCCGGACGCTGATGCGGATCTTTAGCTTCGGTCTTTTGGAAGTTGAGACGCGTCTAACGTGGTGCAGGTAACGAAGCTGCTTCTTTAATCCGATAGAAACTCTGGAAAACGTTAGATACATATTGGCGTTACCTTTAGTGAAATAGTGCAGGTACCCTAAGGTCGGGGTGAAGCTAACCAGCTAATTAGCTAGCAAGTTGTAGTAGTTGCTTGCTGCTGACTGGAGACACACAGCTGGCTAGCTTGTTTAGTGTAGCTTATTTTTGCTTTTCTGCTGGATCCACAAAGACAAAATCAGAGAAACATAAGAATCGACACTGTGGACACTGTGGACACTGTAAGGGCATTGTTAATAACCAGCGGTTATGTGTTAGTGTGATTTCATATTGGTTAAAAGCCAGGGTTTTTACTTGTTATGTTAAATGTGTTCTCTATGTTACAGTATTATGTTGCTTATTATCTGGAGCACATCCATACTAAATAACAGGCGGTTTCTCAGAATGTTCTGGAATGCCTGTTTATTCAGTGGAATTCCTGAGTGCTAACACTGGTATTTATTGTTCTGTGTTAATATATGAGGTGTTGTAAACAAGCCACAGATGAACAGGAAGGTTCTGATATTCTGTGTTAGCCCTCCTCTTTTACTACTTTTATTTTGAAAGTGCTTATTAAACCTCGAAATTTAGAGACTAGTTTTCCAGTTAAGGAAACACCTGGATATTGTTTAAATGAAGAGAGTGCTGGTAGACTGTTGGTAGAATAAACTGTGTGACCCTTCATGGCGGGTTTACCAGATGCAGGGATCTTTTCTCATATCTACGTCCATACAGCATCAAACGTCTTGTTGCTGTGGTTCATAAATACATGCACAGTGATGGTAATTGTACATGCAATGAACACTTCTAGAAGATCGCATATCTGTAAAATAAAATGTCTTCTGCTTGATTTGAACTGATACTGATGGGCTGTGACCAAAGTAATGTCGTCAGTTTGTCAAATCTCCTTGAAAAAGGTCTAAGAGTGGAAGCCCTGCCTTTCTACTGGTTGTCAGTTAACAGGCAGCTGTGATGGACGAGACAACTGTAACTTTCTATTCATTAAATGGTGTGGACATGTTTTCATTTAAAGTGGTCCCTTCCTAGTGCAATTACACTATAAAAACATTCTTTGTTAATACTTTTGATCATTATGAAGTTAAAAAGATTGAGACTATGACTCTGATTGGTTGTTTTTTCATTCAGGTCCGGTTATTAGATTATCTGTCTCATGTACTATTTGTTCCTAGTATCTTAAGATGCAGGTAGCAATTCCAAAACGAATAGTTTTAAGAACGCTGCTCTTGCTGTCAACTATCAATCTCAGCTGATGGCCCAGTGAAATATAAAGATGGGGGGGACGCAATTGGCAGCAGACATTCTTTCAGCCACTCTTATGCTCTAAGCCAATCTACCATAGCCACAGGTGCAGGCGGGACATTCAGACACACAGAGGACACAGCAGAGTACAATTTCTGTAAGGGTTGGAAGATGCCAGCTGGCTATCTGTTGATCATTAAGATAAGAAAATGAGTTGTTTGTCTGTAATGCTATAGCATGGCACACAGCAGTAAACCTGCAACCTTCTCACCTGCACAACATGGAAGGAATAACAATGAACAATAACAAGTTTGTGCCTGTGTGTTCCCGCTGCTGGTCCTCTGGTAGTCGCTGCTCATTCTGGTTGTATTGGGAGGACTTGTGATGGGGCACAGGGTTGTACTCGGAGTTCCGCGGCGCCGTCCCGTCCAGCTTCTGCCGCCACTCATGCTCCTCGTCATCCTGCTGGCAGCGGTTTGGGCAGAGAGCCAAGACTACTACAGTCTGCTGGGAGTCAGCAGAGAGGCCACGACCAGAGAGATCCGACAGGCCTTCAAGAAGCTGGCGCTCACCATGCACCCTGACAAAAACCCTGTAAGTTACCCAGACACAGCCCATGAATTAACCCGAAGCACCGCCTAACACCCCGATTTAAGCAGGATCTACCTGAAAACTTGTACACAAAACCCTAATAATAGCTTTGTGTTGTAGGGCGACTCCTCAGCCCATGAGAAGTTCCTGCAGGTGAATCGAGCCTACGAGGTCCTAAAGGACCAAGACCTCAGGAAGAAGTATGATAAATATGGCGAGAAGGGATTGGACGAGCAGCAGCAGGGAGGACGCTACGAGAGCTGGAACTACTATCGATATGACTTTGGTACATCTCTGTCGTAACCATGGCGATAGTGTTTTTTACTACATTTTGTGTTAAACCATGATAGGACAGTTGATAGATATTTCAGTCTGTCTTTCTGTGCAGGTATCTACGATGATGATTTGGAGATCATCACGTTGGACAGTGGAGACTTTGGTGAGTGTGACTATCCTCCAGCACTTACATTTTAAAGCATAAATAAACACACCCACGCATCGCCACACCACCATGCAGCTAATCCCAGCAATGTCTGATTTGTTCTGAATATGGCATTAGGTTGATTAGCTAGGTAGGTTATTCAATTAATGCAGCTTTAAATTCATGGGACAACACAGTTGACAGACGCTCAGTTAAACAGATCATTATTTATTGATCACATAAAGTTACTGTTTAACATGTACGTAACTTTTATGATCATTACTGTATTTATTTTTATTTATGCCGTAAAAGTGTTTTTCTCTTACATCTGTATCCTTCAACAAAGAGCAGAGCAGCCTCACTCTGCTCTCACTTCACACAGCATTTGCCTTTTTTGGCCCCAGTGGCACCATGTCATGGCTGTGAGCAGATAGCAAAGGCACTAAACATGATTGTGTGTAAAACAGGAGACTTGACACACTGTGTGTGGGTGTGTGTTTGTGTTTCAGAGGCAGCAGTAAACTCTGGAGAAATCTGGTTCATCAACTTCTATTTCCCACGATGTTCACACTGTCACCAGCTGGCGCCAACGGTAATATAACACTAAAATACTTATGATTTTTCATTTGAATTGTGTCACTATTTGACAACCAGTCAGATCAAATACTGACACTGGGGGACTCTAGCAATGAGATTCAACAAACAACTATCTTTAAGCCTCCAACCTAAAGTGTCTTTAAATCTATCTCAGATTTGATTGGTTGTTTTTGTTCAGGCCCAGTGGATTCTGGCAAATATCATTAGGAGCACTAGAAGAAGCCAGAGGAACCAGATTTTCTCACAGATTATCTGCCTCATGTACTTCTGTCAGGATATAGTGAAAGTTTCAGCAAATATGACAAAAATAATTTTTTGACAAAATTACCTACTGCAGCTTTAAACATTTTTTCCCCTTTAATTATTCCTTTTTAGCCCAGTTTGAAGTTTTTAGATATATTTCTTTATACCTCTTTTTAAAATGTAATTCTCCTTCTGAAATGAGGATTTTTTTGTATATTTAGGAAGTTTGATATTGTTTTCAGTAGAAATCAGCAGTAGTTTATCAATACTAAGACACAACATCCATTTTAACTCAGTGGTCTGTCTCCTAGTGGAGGGAGTTTGCCAAGGAGATGGATGGAGTCATCAGGATTGGAGCAGTGAACTGTGGAGACAACAACCACCTCTGCAGGAGGAAAGGCATCAACAGCTACCCCAGTCTGTTTATATACAGAGCAGGACAGGTCTGTTTGCTGTTTATTATTGATTGTTTCCTTATTGATCACCTAACTAACTAACGTGAGTCAAGTGTACCTGTTCAGTAAGGTGGAGGGCTAAAAAATGCAACTGGAACATGTTCTGAATTTGAACCTACATCAGTTTCTTCCCGTGTTTACACTGAAAACAACCTGCATGTTTAACACAAGTTAAATTCAGCAATCAGCATAACCTGCAAGCTCACTCAAAGACAGCTCACCAGTAAACTTTTAGGGTTTAATTCAGTTTAGTGCAAGAATGCAATAAAAAGAATGCCGTAATTAACTCAGTGGTTCCATAATTTTTATAGGCCACTGATTATATTGAGGAAAGCAAGACTCAAATTTCCTCAGTGTCTTGCAGCTGCCCTAGACTTAAACCATTGTCCCAATTTCAAGTTATTTTTCTCTAATTCTACATCATGAATATATTTGAATAACTTTGTTTCAGTAATTCACATCTCTTCATTAACTCACTCTGGTCCGCCATGGAAGTTCTGCTAGTTGTTCCCTGCACTTATATCTGAATAAAAAGTTCAAATCACCCGAGGTGTTTGGCCACGATCAGTTTTCATTATTCTTTTGGTCATTGGTTGAGTTTAGGGTCAACCAAAGAAAATCTTGGTCGGCTGAAATTCCACCTACTCTTCTATATTTAAATATATTTCTCGCCATGTCCCTGATGGTCTAAATAAGTCACTAAATTTGTTGCTAGTTGCATTTGAGAAATGAAGATACTAAGATGGTCCCAAACAGTTGCTAAATCTACAGAAAAAGTCGCCACTGACTCTCAATGATTAATTTTGTGTGTGTAAGTGCACTTGTAATGTAGTGTAGAGCTCAAGCTGGTGCCAACTCACTTTTTTTTTACACCTAACAATTAAAATTCAATTCCATAATACATAAACATAAACATTTCATTTGTAATGATACATTTCTCTACTGTCCCAGAATTGTCCCAGACATCTTTGTGTCCCAGCTGCTATTTTTATTGCAAATCTCGCTAACCTGAATTCTGTCAGCGTCAGTGCAATCCTGTTTAACTATTATTAACATTTTCTTTGTTTTCTATAGAAACCAGAGAAGTTTAATGGGGAGCGTTCTAAAGACGACCTGGTCCGCTTCTCCATGCAGTTCATCACGACAACCGTCACTCAGCTCTGGCAAGGTAAACTGCTCAGAATCTTTCACCTTTTACACTTCATACATTGCCTTGTTCCACATTTGTTCATGAATGAAATGAAACTGCGGCTGGGAGTCATCATCCGCCTCTGTGTGGTCTGACCTGTGGGTGTGGTTGTGGTTGTGTTTTTGCCAGGTAACTTGTTCAGCGAAATAGAGAGTGCATTTTCGTCAGGGCTCGGCTGGCTGATCACCTTCTGCTCTGACACTGGAGGTAATCAGAATCAGAATCAGAAA